AAGCCAACAGTTGACTCCTTAGTGGAACCAACCTTCTATATACAACAAATAAACCTACTATATTAATAAAATTATATTAGTGTTATTTAAGTAATCAGCGAATATAGTAGGTTTACTTGTTGTATATAGAAAATTGGCTCCATTATAGAGTCAATTGTTGGCTTCATAGTAAAACCGATTGAAAGATAAAAACCTTCTTTTTTTTTTTGCCTATAAGAAAAAACAATAATTGGAATAAGGAGATACATATTGTTCAGCATCTGAAAATAAATTATTTCTGATTGAATTCACCCAAAAAAAAAGTAGCATAAAATGTCATATTGCTATCTACTTCAGTCGGGACATCAGATCGAATCATAGTTATATGCTCGAACAAAACATACTGCAAACAGGATGTACAACACTACCGAGCTTGGATAATTTCTCTGCGGGAGATTTGCTATTCTTCAAATTAGTTTTCATACGAAAGAGATGTAGTGATCAATTAAATGTACCTTACAAAAATTTTGCTTTCGATTTTCGCCACCAGATAATAGTAAAATCTGATTGTACTCTCAACTCGAGGAAATTGTACCCAGGTCATTTATCAGCTGCTGGCAGTTGAGCTAATGCATCCTCAGCCTTCACCTTTTCGGGAACAAAATCTAATTGCATGCACCATATCAGAATAAGTATCAAAGAGTTGATTCTCAAAGTAATAATAAACAAACAAAGATTTCACCTGAGAGAAAGCCAAATCGCTTTCGTTTAGCAACTACAGAGGCTGCGTGCGAAAAAGAAGAGTGACAATAATTAGTACACAGAAAGGTTGGCGGTCAATAGTTAATGTAGAAACTAAAAAGCATCATGATCTGAACAGTAAGAATGGAATATTTCGATTATATTGATATAATCGTTGCTAAGTGTACGCATCATCTTTTGACCAAAGAAATTCTTTTGTTTCAACACAATGGAATTTTAATTTGCTACTTCACTTATTTCCCAGAGAGAATAACGACGACAAAATCTACTTTTCAATTAGTGTAAGAATTACTTACGTAACGACAGAATTTGTCGTTGCTACTTCATTTTTTTTACAGAGAAAATAAAACGACAACAATATGGAAAATTACTTTCAACTTATGTAAGAAAAATTTACATGTGCGTTGCTAATTCATCGTGTTTGTGTTACCAAGCCATCATCTGCATATATATTCTTGATCCTAGTATTCCATAAATTTTGTTCATAATTTATAGGATTTCCAAAATAAATAAAACATGCCCTGCAGTATGCGTTCTCATATATAACTTATTAGTATTTTAAGGTGTCGCATAAGATCAAAACCCAATGTCATTAAAGGCAATATTGAAGTGTGCGAATGCTATTCCAATCGCAGCAGAATTAAGTCATTTGAAAGCCACTTTGAGCAATGAGCGGTCTTGTTATTAGGCACGTGCTAATCCAAAGCAGCGTTTAAGCGTAAAAAAGGTGAATCCACATTTCTAGTTATATAGATTCAAATATTTTCTAGACGACATTAAAGCAATAGATAGAACAACCTATAGTGTAAAAAAAGTACTACCAACACAAGCGAAAAAGTAAAAGTTGCGCTCTTTTTTTTTTTTTTTTCCCCGGGACAATCAATTTATATGTCAATAGTCCACAGAACTCGACCATCATAACAGCAATTATTACTCTTTCATGATATTCACAGCACTTGGCGACAGGGAGTTCGTGCTATACTAAATAAAAAATATTTGAGCTATGCAGCAAGGATACTTGTCTTTAAGAAGGCAGACTTCAGAAGAAAATGAATCATAATCTGCCTTCAGAAAGATAAAATCTGCCATAAGCAAGAAAATGAAGGAGCTCAGAATGCATATAATACATATAAGCTAATTACCAATGATTCATTGCCCTAAACATTGAAATTGACCAAAGAGAGAAATAGGAATAAGTGGAAGTACACAAATGGTTGTAAGCAGTATATCTTTTGTCTTCCAGAAACGTGCAAGCATAAGCCTCCTTGCAGAACACTTGAAGAAACTTCTCCTGCAACCAGCAAATACAATGTTCAGGGCAAAACTGAAATCAATAATACATCAAGATTATATATACAAAATCAAAATGGTAGCAGAACAAATGAACAATCAAGCAGATCAAAAAGAGAAAGTTCAACACATAGTTCAACACATAGATCAAAAAAAAAAAAAGCAAAATTCACTTATATCTCATTTACTCGACCCAAATTCAGTTGTCAGCCTTCCTTTGTTCAAATAAAATTGAAGCAGTGTAAACCCAGCAAAAAAGAGAAAAGTTCAACACATAGTTGAGAAACATTCGATGGGCAGAACATCCATGTTACGACAAATGGCCCCATAAATCGACAATAGCAAATGTATATATTGATATTGCTTCTTTCTCATATTGTGTTCAGCAGCAAATTTTGAGCGCAATCTTCCTAGTACATTTAGCTATTTCAGACAAACAAAAGCTGTGGGATTCCAAACAATAACTTGTATTCAGAAAGAGTTAACATTTTACAGGCAAAAAACCACATTTATCACAACTCACAAGGAAAGATAAAGAATGCTGGTATTGAGCAAAATGTTACAAATAGCCAGAGAAAAGAACATGTCATCATAACAAGTGAAATTTCCACTTGAAATAGTCAAGCTTTATTGATAGAAACAAAGTACAGAACAATGGGAAAGAAGAGCATAGTATACAGTCTTGATCCAACACTTTACAGCATTGTTCTTCACCAGCTAGCAAGTTTACTACCATATCTGGCTAGAAAACCCTAATTTGCAGAAATGGGGGCAAGATCAAAAGGCATACCGAGGCTTTATTGATGAGGAAAACAGCTTCCTGTGAAATTCGATAATCTTGATTTTCGCTCCTGATAATTCTACTGACCCGATTCATCGGAAACCTATACAGGGCGTTCTCGCTCTTCTCCTCCTCCACGTCCGATTCAACGTCGCCTTCCTCCTTTTTACTCCTCTTTTTCCCTTTACTCTTCGCCTCCTCTTCTCCGCTCGTTTCCTTGCCGCTTTTGCCTTTTGGTTTCTTCTTCTGTTCTCCTTTGCCTTTGAGTTTCTTCTTCCCTTCCTTGTCGCCCACTCGGTCCTCCGCCGCCTCGCCGGATTCAGCGACGTCGTTGTTTACGAATTCTTTTCTCGAGGACGGCATCGCAAGGACGATGTTTCCCTCGCTGGAAGCATCGCCGGCGGCTGCTCTTGACCCCTTGTTTCGGCTTTTATTTTTGCTTTTTGCGCCGAGGGCCGACGGATTTTTCTCTTTGGTTTTGTTTTTGTTCTGTGATTTGGGTGTTTTCTGATTACTGGTTCTCTCTGCTGGCACTTGCTTCTTCGCCATTGATGGCAAGCTCTGGAGAATTCAGAACAAAATTGTATTTTACAGAGAAAGGGGCAGCGCCGATAGAACTATGAGCTACTACTATAAGATGTCGAATTAATTGAAGGCTTTAATTGCACAAAAAGTTATGAAATTTCCAATATTTATAGATTTATAATATTAAAATTTTTGGAAATGTCATGGTCCTTTTACGAAATCATTCTGTCGAGATTTGTAATTATTAGATCAACTATCCTCAACAGAATGGTTCCGGGACTGTAGTATTTTTTTTTTTTTTAAGTAGACAGATCAATTAAGGATTTTTGCAATTTATTGCAAATTGAAATTTTGAGGTATACTTGATATTTCGCTATTTATTGAGTGAGTAATGGATATTACTTATTAGTGAATAGTTCATAAGGCATTATATTAACGGTTTAATAAATTTGATTATATTAGTGAATAATGATAACACATTTTATTTATTGATTTATAAATGATTGTTCAGTAAATATTGGTTTGTATAGCTATTATATAAAAATGTTATGTTGTCGTATTATTTTATGAATATTCTTTATTGAAGACGATCTTATATTAAGTGTTTTTGGGATCAAGGTTATGAGCCTAAAAAAAGTAACTAAATAAGATATTTACCGGACAAACTAGTTAGCATATTTGATGGATCAAACTTTTAATTAACGTTCAATATGATAATTTTACGTTGATCCCTAACATGCCAAAGTTGTTACCATAAAGATTTTCGCGTAAATTTTATTTAACTATCTATATTATTTCAATTTTAAAAATTTTGTTGTATAAAATTTTGAATTTAGATAGTTGTCCCCCTAAAGTATTCCCTCCCTAAATTTAAATTCCTAAAAATAGACAAAATAACTTAACTAA